GGAGCGTAAATCGAATGTAATGGGAGAATAACAGAAGCGTAAACGAAACTTCTAGAAAGTAAACGAAAATTGAAATATCAAAATGTAAAAAAAATGTAAGTGCTTCTTTTACATTTCATTGTTCCAATTACTTTCGCCTTCTAGAAGTTTCGTTTACACTTCTGTTACTCTCCCATTACATTCGCGATTTACGCTCTGATTTTTATTTTCATCAAGGATAATAAAAAAAGCACAACTGTCGTTATGAACTAACGATCATAATATGTCTTTATATCATGATAACGACTGCATAATGAGTTACAACATACAGGGGTAGCCAGCAGATGTGAAGCGCAACGATATAATACGCGGCAACGCATAACGGCCGCGAGACGAGTGAACGACGCGACGCAATTCAAACGACAGTTACCAGACGCGATCGTTTGAAACGTAGTTGGCTCGGCGGCCGAGTGGCGGCGCGCGCAGCGCGCAGCGGCGCAACGAACACCAACCGCCATGATGGGGAAACGAAAATGGCGTCGCGTGCACGGTGCCGATGATCCCTCGTTTCGCCGCGTTCGTGTTCGGGTAGTTGCGGTGTGTACGGACTACGGCGTCCGACGGAGCGTCTTAACGACAACGACGACGGATATTAATTGGCGTGTAGTGTGTGTAATACGAGAATCGCTCGTTGAGTAATCAGATCATTCGCTTGGCGGTCGTGCCGCACGTACGAACGTTACGGCGAACGGCGGTGGCGGCGGCAACGACGACGACGACAACGACGACGAGTGTCGCAGTGACGGTGATTAAATCGTGCAGACTTCGTCGATACCGGCGGACTCGCGATAATCCTCCTGTTGTTTCCTTCTCGCCGTGAGAACCGACCTCATCTCCGTTGGCATGACGAAGGACGCGATATCTCCGTTTTCCGCGGCGAGGTAATGTGTGTTGACGTGCGCGAGTGATACCTCTCCGCGTATCGTCCCTGTCCCGCCTTGCGATCGAGGGACAACCGGCGGGTGAGATCGTCTACAGGAGGCGGCGACGTGAACGACGACGTGACGGGGCGACGTGCGACGTCTAGCATCTCCGCCCGACCATGGCGGTGAATCCGCGTGATATGGACGGCTTCATGCCGCTCCTGTCAACGACGGATATCAAGAAGAAGCTCAACGTCGGCACCGCGCTGCTCAATTTCCTCGGCGACTTGAGCAAGAGCATCGAGTGCCAGGACATCGGCATGTTTATCGACAACATTATTCCCTGGCTCGGCAACGGTAATCCCAAGGTAAGCGTTCGGCGACGGCGACGATGTCTAAGATCGCCCGCAACGACGTCGAGCGCACCTAACCTTCACTCGCGGCAATTTTCCGGCTACTTTCCGTGACTTTCACGTTATTTATAGATACTTAGCTTGATCATGTTTGTCCTCCACTTTATTAAGTGCTAAAATTAAAACGGAGACGAAGAAACTCGATTTTTTTCTCCTCCCAAAGTGATGCACGAGTAGCTGTTTTCATAGAATGTTGATAAACGTTTATTGATAAAAGGATAAGGCTGAATATATTTTATAAAAAAATTATTTATCGTTATTAAGGGTTATTTATCGCTTTCAAGATTACGTCAAGAATGACTTTTGTAACATTCATTATATTTTACGAATTGTTGACATCTGCATTAAAACTGAGCTGCTCTTTACACGCTGTTCTCTGTTTAAAGGTGAATTATAATTGAGGAAAGGATGGAGCAATATGAATTCAAATTAACTCACCCTTAACCTTGCATAACCAAAGTTTTTTTTACTTGCTAAAACAAGATTACACAACTGGTAAGCGGGGAACGTTGACTAAACCATGTTCAGTAGAAAAAGCAGTTTTGCAGCTGTTGTGAAAGTCTTTAATATAATTGATTTATGCCCTTAGATTATGTTCCTCAGAGATCTAGATATATAAACAAATTATATTAAAGAATCTTACAACAGTTATAAAACTTTTTTCTGCTGAACGCAGCCATTAAAATTTAAAGAGTGTATTTGTTTACGCAGTGGTTAGCACAGAGAATATCATTTAATCCTTATTTAACATTTGGTGTGAACAACAAGGATAAAGTAATATTGCACTAATCGCTGCATAAACGAATGCAGGGAAAGAATATAAATATATAAGTATGCCCTATAATGTAACGTAACTGGAGCATATGGGGGGCATTTGGTGACTTTAGGACATTTTTAAATAGTACAATAATTTGGAATAATTTTATGAATATATTTTTAAAGCTTGTTTTTGTAAAGTAATAATACGATAAAGAAAGCAATATGAGACAATTAATAAGTGTGAGTTGAAAAGTAATCATAAAATATAATATGTTGGTGTTATTAAATATTATAGGGGCTGTTTTGAACTTACATACTTCTTCAGCCAAAAGAATTAAATAAGTACATAAATAAAGATCAATTAAAAGAGGACCATAATTAATAGAAAATTAAAATCTAAGGAGTTATTAAAACAAACTAATGCCATAAAAACACTGCCCAAACAAATGTGTATATTATCAGTTAATTAAATAAATGTTATTTAATAAAAGAAAGAACAAATAAGTATATCAGACATATAAAATGTAAAGTGCGTTGCGTGGTATTATTTTGTTGGAAAACATAGTTGGCTCCTCGAACTGAGACAGAAGAAAGAATCTTATCCAGGAGAATTAAAATGTTAAAATCATTTGAAACTAAAATCTTTTCAGAAGGACGTCAAAAGAATGTCATTTTGAACAGACACACATATTTTCCGGACAATATTCGATCGTTGTCGCAGACCAGTCTACGAGAACTTACAACTACCGAATATAGTCCGGCAAATGTGTAGGTGTATCATCTTTTTCAATATGTCATTCTTTTGTATGTTCTTATTGTCTGCTCTTCTGACCTGAGAGCTTAAGATCTTCATTTCTGATTTGAACATTTTGACTGTCCCGGACAAGATTCTTTCTCATAATAAGGTCTGTTCTTTTTTTACCGATAAACTCTCAGAACTGGTACACAGTGCAGTAAGTTGAAATGAAGGGTCTTAGTGTCACAAAAAAATATGTATTCTTGTTACGAATTAAAATCACATGATAGTACATAAGAGTTAACACTCAATCAAAGTCAACCACGTTGGATTCGCGGCCGCGAAGTCTCCTAGTCGAGCACATGACGCGAGCGGTCCATAAATGGAGAAAGGAGACGATTGATCAGTCGCCATCGCCTGCCTTCGGCGCGCTCCGTAAAACGCCGCTTTTTCGCGCTCGCACGTGAGAACGTTACCGCCCCTGTTCTCACCTGTGCGTCGCGAAATGGGAACAACCGATTTAGCATCTGTGTGGCACGGAGCAACGCGCCGGAGTAAGTAGTCCGGTGCCGATGAAAGTGCCATTTGTCATAATTTACTACCGTTTCCTCGGCGCTGTGAATGACTAGCATTTGTTCAATTTTTTTCTCCTTATTTTCTCCGATAAGTTCAAGTGAAAAATAACACATCTCTTTATGGTTTTACGACTCTCGGAACTTGTGTTTATCTTTTCTATCTTAGATATTTTGGTGAATCTTTGATTTGCTGGTTAACTTGGGCTTAGTCTGACGATAAAGTAAAAACTGTATTTTTCTATCTACGGTTAATCATTAAGTCGATGATTTTGCAGTGAATAACTTTTAAGCCTTTCACAATAGGCCTATTCTTTTTCTACATCTGGAATGAACTTCTTTGCACGGTTTATTTTCTTATTCTTCTTATTCTTTTCACGTTGGCGAGAAAAAGAGAAAAGATAAACCGTGCAAGAAATTCAGTCCTGAAGTATGGAAAAAGAACAGGCCTTATGTAGAGTTACCTAAAAAGTAAATGTTACCAAGAAATTCATGAATGAATTTCATTGATGAACCTTTAATTTTTAGGTATAATCATATACATTGTGAAAACGAGCCTTAAAATCTAAACCACAACGAAACCATTAATAGTAGTGATTAATCATAACTAGAAACATACAATTTTTATATTATCATCAAGTTAATTCTTATACGATGATTTTTCAGTTCTTTACTATACGTGCTAGATTATTTGTGTCCCTGATTAATTGTTGTGTTTCCTGATTAATTTTCATCATTTTAACAAATGTGCAAAAATTATTAAGTGATTCTTACATATACTTCAACATCTTTAAAAAGTATTTGTAAGGTTATGCGTTAAAAAAAAATTCTATAAATATTATAACTGATTACTTGATGCTGATGCTTTCAGTTTTTCGAAGAAAAAAAATGTGCAGGACATGATCCAATCACGTGTTTAAGGATTAAGTAAGATTACATCTAAACTACGAGTTAATCAGATAATGAAAAATCGAAGACGAAAGCACAAGTCATTTCGCGCTGGCTGTAATGGTCGTTGCGAAGTATTTACTTAATGACAAATACTTGCACATTAGACGAAGATGCGAGACGAAGATTAGAGTAGCTAATGGTGTTTAAGAGGATTTAAAGGGCCGTGATCGGCGCTTTAAATGCCACGAGTTTCAGCAAAGGATATATAGCTGTGTTTATTGTAAAGACTCAATTATCTTACTCTGTACATGCGAAAGATCAATGTCGCGTCATCACATTTAAGACTCAATGCTAATAAACGTTGTAAATTATAACGCCGTGCACGATGTAAACAATCTTTCGAAAGCATCAAGGCAACGGCGTAATATGTCGATCATTTATTTATTATCGAGAACATATCTTCCGTTTTATTGCGGTCGGTATTTCGCAACACGATGAAAATCCGAGCAATGAAACTCGACACGTGCGCGGTAAATGAGTAGTAGTATAATGTAGAAAGCAGTTAATTAACTCATAACAGGAACATGTGAGTTCTTGGGATTCATTAAAGCTCTTGTTATTAGTTTTCTTTAAGAACATTTTTCAAGTTTAATTATAGTATATCCTTAATCTATAATCTGGGGTATAACGCTGTTTGGGAAATACAAATAAAAGTTAAATTAAATTAAATTTAAAAAATAACACAAGTAAATTAAATGAAATATTATCGATAGAATTTATTGATTCTAATGTTCGATATAAACACATAATGTGTCCAACACGTTGAGCTTTCCTTGTATTATTGTATATATTGCGCAAGAAACGCAAGGAACGCATACTTTCGTAAAGATACTGTATAGGGGAAGCGGGATGTTTATACATTATTACATCGACACAGTAAGCCTTTAATCTTTGTTTCCTGCGAACGTGGATATGTCGATTTCGACCGCATTTATTCGACGCACAATGCACTATTGAACACAAAAATCGGAGAATAAAATATTGTATATACGTAATGAGACAATATCTATACAAGAACTGAAGCAAAAGTAGGATAAACATTAGTGCGTTTAATTAATTAGACGAACAAGATGAGAGATATAAACGTGAAAATATCATTTATGTCATCGTAATATATGGAGATAGTTGAATGCGTTACTGTGAATTGTACTTCTATATTTGTTCCTCATATCTTCTTTTATGGATGTTTATCTACCCCTTTTCATAACTGTTACATTACATTAGATCTCCACCCGATCCTAATTTTGTATGATCGCCGGTCAGGGTGTGTCGAGTGACAAACTTATTACCTTATGTGCGCGTGTGCGTGCCAGGGGTTCTCAGTGTGTCTTCCAGTTTTCATAGTGTATGCAACCTTTAAGGAGAGTCTAAAATCATCTTTTATCGATTCAAGATCTATACACATGTCATTGATACATTGCTGTACATTATTACTTCAACATCACGCGCATATACAAATTTTTTAACTATCTGATCTTTAATATTATACCGAAAAAGATGGTCTGGTTGGATTCAACAGTAATTGATGGAAAATGGACGAATGAGAATTTTCTGGTTAAATCTACTAGAATTCAAGTTGAGATATAACTAGAATTCTGATTGATATAATTATTCTGGTAAAAATAAGAATTTTAATAGATTTTACAGAAATGTGTGTATCAACCAGAATTCCGGTTGTCTCAAAACTAGAATTCTAATAAATTTAATCACAAAATTTTCCAACTTGTTTTCGTTTCTGGCTTAATATCAACTAGTTTGGACTGTATTATCGTTTATATTTTAATTATAAAAAAAGTTTATATTTTAATTATAAAAAATGTTTAAATCTGTAAAGGCAATTCGAAAAATACTTATTTGAAAAATAATCGGTGAAACACAGACGACTCTAGAATCCCCCTCGGATAATCGGGATGATCTCTGCCGTTATAAATTTAGAT